CTCGGGTAAGGCACCAGCTCCCTGAAACCTGCTGTTGGGCATGCAGAAAGGATGAAGCACTGGGATGTGGGCAAATGGGTAATGGATGCACCACATGTCTTGAAAATACTGCTATGTCGGGAATGGTTTCCTAGAAGCATGTGATGTAATAGGATATTTATTATTCATTTAATAAAAGGTTTATTCATTATTTTATGTACATATATTTATGAATATTTTATGAATATCAAAGAAAATTCCACGATTATTTATGTGACCTTAAATATTATATATAACTGTTATATGCGAGAGGATAATATTTAAGGATAATAATCAAAACAATGTTCGTAATGAATTTAATTAAAGTTCATAATCTTTAAATAAAGCATTACTAATACATGTCATTCCCATTTAGAATGGAACGGTGTTATCTGCACTGTTAATATGGGGAGATATTGAATGAGTGTATTACGCATAATGAGATTATGTGGAACAGGGACATAGACCCAATATGAATTTATGATAATTTCCGTTAAGTATAAAAATTCTAATTGAGTCTAACGATAGTCATTTATAGAATGATCTTAATCATGAGTTCTTAGCAAACTCCTATTTATGGATTTGTGTCTTTTGATTTACTTGGTACGAATTCTGAGATCCTGAATCCTATTCCTTGTATTTTGGAGACATAATGAAGTGAGTGGCCGGGAATGTTATTATACAAGATGGAATTCGTTCCTTCTTGAGAAAGAAGTATATAAATTATTCTCTTGAGGGTTGATTCAGTACTTGGACCAGTAGGAGCTCCGATTCATGAATTTATTTTATGAATAACTGTTCATTAGAGAATCAATGGTACTCAAGGATAAAAATAGAATTAGAGAGGTTAATGGATTTCATCTAGCTCTAATTATGAATTATTTATGGAGGATTGATCTATACGCAATGACTATATCAAATGGACACTTCACAATTTAGAAGTAATTTATGTCTATAATTACAAGAGTGCAATTCCAAGTTTATAGTAGACAGTAACTATTAGAATTAATAGAATTAATTAATTAATTAAAGTATTTAATTAATTATTAATTTTATTGGAGCTCGAAATTATAGGTCCATGAGTCCCCGCGTCGTCCTTGTAATTCTACAAGACACTAAGGGCAAAATGAAAATTTTAGAATTCGAAAATAAAACACTCAGGGATAATTAATTGAGAATTAATTATAAATTAAATAATATGATTATTTAAGTTTAAGTTTAAGTTTGAATTTTAAAACACACATGTGAAGGTGTTCACATAGTGTGAACGCATATCACAGTGTGAATCCCTTTAGAATTTAAATTGCTTGCTCTCCATAGTTATTTAATTAACTTATTTGATAAGTTGTTCAATTTGAAATTCAAATTGATTTAAGTTTGACTTAAATTGGAATTTAAATTTAATTTAAATAGTTATCTAATTAACTTATTTGATAAGTTATTCAATTTGAAATTCGAATTGATTTAAGTTTGACTTAAATTAGAATTTAAATTTAAATTTAAATAGTTATCTAATTGACTTATTTGATAAGTTGTTCAATTTGAAATTCAAATTGATTTAAGTTTGACTTAAATTGAAATTTTAATTTAAGTTAAAAATTGGACTGCAGGCTAAAATCTTTCTCTAGTCTTTATCTGTAAAATTGGGCCTACCACGTGGAGGATAGCTTTTAGTGGTGGCATGCCCTATTGGATAAAAAGGAATGGATTTTGTTTCAAAATCAAATTTAAAGTGGGAGATAATTAACAAGGTTTATCTTAGAGATAAAGATAAGGCTCCTTCTGGGTGTTTGATTGTTACTCTATAAAAGAAGAGATTGTAGAAAATTGTGAGACACAATGTTTTGCTCTACTAAGTGTTAGTGGCTGAATTTATTATAGAGTGGGAAGGAAAATTTTCTCTAAAAATTTCACGTCGTGCATGTGTTGGTGTTCTTAAAAATCTTAAGTGTTATTGCAAATCTCATTTTGTTTCAGGTGTCCCCACACACACGTCTTCGTAGATTCAAGGAATTGACGAGAAAGATTCAGGTGTTCTAAACTAGCATTGGAGCAAGGAATGTTCGAGGTCAAAGAACACAAGTTATCATCCTAATTGGTTGCTAGGTATAATTCCGGTTCTTGGTAAATAAATTAATGTGATTAATTTATTCGTGCATAAATTAATATAATCTATAGAGTATCTCAAAGGTTTTATTAAAATTTTTGTTATACACGATCCGCTACTCACACGTTTCCGTATCCGAAACGTTTCGGAAACCAACAACTATGTGTATAAGGTAAATAGTATTTATGGATGTAAGAGTAAGTAAGTTATGTAATAAAAGTAAAGTATATGAGACAACGAGGCTATGTTTAGCAACCTCAAGTCACAAAGTATGTTAATGTACTCAAAAAGCTATCATGTTAATGGCATGTGAACGACAGTGGTATACAAATGGTAAGTCAAATGTATGACCACGCTTAGAAACAGATTTTAAAGTCTTATAACAATTTTATCTACGGATTATTTAATATCAGGAAGTTGAATATGTTTTTGGAAATGCATTTTAAATTATTGAAGTTTTATTCCGCCGAAGTATATTAGTATTTATTTGTCACGCCCCAAATCAGGGGTTAGTGACTAGAGGCTTGTTAAAAAATTAAAACGGATTAAGAAAGTAATTAAACATTTAATAATGCTAAAATCAATTTCAAAGATAATATATTTAAGAATTTCAAAACAAACCCCATAATTTAAGGAAATTAAGTTTCAGGAAAAGTGAGGTGGATTTCACAATACTACAATAAAACAAGTTTTAAAACCAGCCTCTGGCATCACATTAGGATTCCCTACAGGAAAATCCATATTATAGCATACATAAATAAAACAAATAACTGAATATAGACATCAACCATAGTCCAGGAGTATACAAAGTTACAAACTAGAAACTATACGTGCCTTAGAGACGTACAATAATGATAGAAGTAATTACAACTTCATTGCTTGAACAACACAAGCTGGCATTACTGGTAATCGCTATCTACTCGTCATTGCTTCTAGTGTCACTTGGGAGGGGTTTAAAACATTGAAAATAGAATAAACAGTGAGCGAAAGACCCAGTAGGATATGATTTTATAAAACTTTATCAATAAACAAAAATACACGGTCCGAACATATCATCCGAAACTAAAACATCCTTAAATGAAAGGAATAGTCCATAAATTCAAGTTTCATATTCCAGTAAGTAATTTATAAGATTATGATGAATCACTTACCTTATCGTAAAGCCACCGTAGTGGCCCGTATGGGTTTCGGGACCTGCCCTCAAGGATATGATCTGCATACCCCGATCTCTAACCATCATGCGTTTTACCATTTCTTAAAATATCTCATTTTAAGAAAATATTACTTTAAACTCTTCTTTAAATCTGAATAATGTCAAACATGTTTTGTCTTTAAAACATTTTCATAGGGCAAATACATTTTAAATAAGGCTAACAAGGATATGGACAGAAATATCTTACCTCTTGGATATCAATCCTGCCACTAGCTTCGTCATTGAAACAATAGTTTAGAGTTTAAACCTTTCCTCTAAAACAATCTAGCTTAATTATGTACAATTGTATCATACTAGTGTGCTTTGACTTAAAATCAAAGTTTATAAACAACTTCATAATTCAAGTTGTGGTTCTTTGAGAATTGGAACTCAAACAAGAAAATAGAATAGAACAAGGGTTAATGTGGCTAATCCACTCACTTTGAGTTCCCAAATGAAGTTAATTTCGCTCTTCAAAATAAGTTTTTAGAGGGTTTTAGGTAAAATTTCACGCAAATCGGTCAACCGGTGGCAGAGGAGTTCAACTCCACCGGTTGGCCAGTGTGTGGAGATCGGTCGACAGCCCTGATCAACCGGTGGGAGTTCGGTAGATCGGGAAAAATGGCCAGACAGGGAGAAAAAGTGCCAAAACCTGCATTTTCGGGTTCAATTTCAAGATATTTTCATAGAATATCACCAAAACCAGGTTCCAACCATTTCAACAAGTTCAAAGAACAAAGCCCCCAAATTTAAACATGAATTCAACCTCAATCCATCTCAAAATCAAGCTTAAACTAAGATTTCACGAGTGAATTTCTCAAAGAATTTTACCTCAATCTTCCCTTTGGTGATGAAAGCTTCTTAGAAATCCCCTTTTGGTCTAGATCTAAGTCCAAACTCCCTTAGAGAGAGTGACAAACTTGAGAGAAAGATAGAAAAGGACAAAGAGACGAGTGAGGGAGAGAAGAAGAGAAATAGGGAGTCAGAGAGAGAGAGAGTGTGTGGAGGGGAGAGAGACGAGTGGAAGAGAGAGAGAGTGACATCTGAGAGAAAGATGAGAGAAAGAAAAGAAAAGAAAAGAAAAGAAATATAAAGAAAAGAAAAGGATAAGTATCAAAAGATAGTTAAAAGAAAAGGAAGGAAGTATGTATTCCCACATACTTCCGAAGAGGAATTGTAAATACTGAAAATAATTAAAATTTCTTGATAATATTTAAAACTTAAAGATAAGAAAATGTTTAATAAGCATGATTAATTAAAAAAACTAAATTAGACACACTAATATATCACAATTAATACAATTAAACTTGTTTAATTCTTCAGGTTGTTACACTATTTTACTATTAAGGAAGAACAAAATGTTGCCTAGAATTAGGGTTTATAATTTTAAAGTAGTAGAAATTAAGTATGAATATAGTAATCATGACAGAAAAATGCTAAAATTAGTTCATGGGACAAGTTGTCGAAAAAACCCTACAAATTTAAAACGACATGTCGTTTAACGTCACTAAATCTTCCTAATATTTGAACCGACATGTAGTTCGTATTCGGCTATTCTCTGTCGTTTATTGTTGAAACGACAAGTCGTTGAAAATTAACATTACACGCTGTTCTACTACTTTTTGATATTTTTATTTCGTTTTTGTTTTTATTTTTATTTTTATTTTTATTTTTTGACTTGTTGGGTAAGTTAGGCTAGGACCAACGAAAACCCAAAGCTTTGGAAAAAGAATCGCCCGAGTTCGACTCCGTAATCTCACTCACTCTCTCTCTCTCTCTCTCTCTTTTCTCTCCTCTGGTACTTAGGTTTTCTGAATCTCCTTCCCCTTCCTCTGCAAAAACCCCAACCTTAGAAAGCCCCCTTCGAATCGACAAAACCCTAGAGATTTTCCATCGATCCGAGTGAAGCTCCGGTTATGGCGGCGACCATGGTTAGCTCGGCCGGTGGCCTCTTGGCCATGCTCAACGAGACCCATCCCTCGCTCAAGCTCCACGCTCTCTCCAACCTCAACAACTTGGTCGATAACTTCTGGCCCGAGATCTCCACCAGCGTTCCCGTCATGTACTCTCTCTCGCTCTTAATGTGAAGTTTGTTCTTTTACTTTCTCTGATGCAATTTAGGGTATTGTCGTTCGTGATCTGTTTGGTCGCCGGGAAACTGAGGGGAATGTGAAAGAAAATTAGGGATTGGGATTTTAAGCTGGCAATGCGATTTTTGGATTCCGATGAAAGAAATTGGGGAGAGCTAAAACAAAGTCGTTTCTTTTAGTAGGGGATTCTTGTAGAATTCATCACATTTAGGGTCTGGTTATGGAATTTGGGTTTGTGTGGGTAGGGATTGGGATTTTAAGCTGGCAATGCGATTTTTGGATTCCGATGAAAGAAATTGGGGAGAGCTAAAACAAAGTCGTTTCTTTTAGTAGGGGATTCTTGTAGAATTCATCACATTTAGGGTCTGGTTATGGAATTT